ATTGGCGCAGACTGAAAAGTCCGCAATGGCCAATAGGCGCATAACCCAGAAAATATTGATTTTTGTACCTGTTCAAATTTTCTAGTTTGCAATGTTATGGCCCTGAAGATGATTTGCCGAAAAGTATATTTTGCCTAACAAATTAATTTTTCAAGTTAAAAAATGGGAATATTTAATGAACTTAGTAGTAGGAATAGGTTATTTTGTATACAGAGGAATAGAGAATAAGCAGGGAGTAGATTTGACTTCAGCGCGCACGACCGGCTAGGAGACTAGCCGTGTCCTATGTTCGGCTTTAGCAGTAGGCATGCCAGCGGCCAGCAGTTAGTAACTGGGTGGGCCTACGCGTCAAAGCGTGTGATTCGTTGCCGGGCCAGGGGCCAGCTTTGCGGCGTCTGTGATTAGTTGTTCCCAGAAATCGAGAACAGTGGCAGTGAGATTTGGCAAAGTTCGCTTCGACGCCAGCTAGTCACGGCAAGTCCGTTTGTAATGGATTTTTCTTAATGTGACGTCTATGGCATTCTCATACATGTGAGATCCAAGCTGCTCGCCCCCTTTAGAGTGAAATCCTGGTGTTTATTTTTCAGAGGTCAGGTCGTCTATGTGGCAGGTGGGAAAGAGATCACAGCTATGTCACCCATTACGTTCATTCCCCTTACCATCTGACTGAACCACTCGGGAGTATATGGGGCCTAAGAACGGGAACAGTGAGTGAGTTCGAAGTCTCAGTACATTTTCGCCACTGTACAAAATCTGATTCGCCTCGAGTTATGACGGAACGCTAAAGCTCGTGCTAAAAAAACATTTGAACCCGGACCACACAGTTAGTCTAGCGTGTGTTTGTGTGGAATGACTGACTGGTAGGCTGAGAGTCCGGCTGCAATGGCTACTTCTTAATGTGGCCTCTATGCTACTGCCACTCTGTGTAATCTGAGCCAGGTGCGACGGAACACTTAGGAACGATTGCGGCCGCGCCGGCCACCTGCGCCCTCTCCTGTTCAAAACACGCGGCTTAGGTGGAAAAGAAGGCAGAAAGTGGTAAATGCTACGCAAGTCTACTGTTACTATAAACGGCATCATGTGCAAATCACCGTCCTTGTACCGCCATGTGGTGGAGTGCACGGTGGACCTCATACAAATCAGTGGTCAAAATTTGCGTTAGATTATAGCAAGCGCATGTTCGCCAGAATATGTGAGATGGTTTAGGTCCGCTGCCCAAGCAATTTTCATGCTTGATGTAACGCTTTAAACTAAAACGCCCACAAAAGTTTACACTAGTGACTTTGGTGGTTCTTACCTCGCCGGTAAAGCGGATGAGGGTTTAGAGTGGGGTAGATGGCGGCCCGTCTACGTTCACTATATCCGGTCGCAGTCACCGTCCCTGCTCTCGGGCAAATGGTGAGCACCACCGATTACAGTGGTCGAACCTACACATACACCTCGCTAATAGCTCTAGCTCGTAGTGCCTTGAGAACAGTCAATCCATTTTGCATAACATGTCTTACTATTGGAGAACATAGTATGGGAATAAAATAAGACGATTCCAGTCTTAAGTATTTCTCCAAGTGATCGTGAAAAACCATGCTTTGCTAAGGTAAATTTCTCGAACTACCAACTACCGGAAAAGTTAGATTCGGACATTTACAAAAATGCCGCAGGAACTGAAAATACACCTCCTGTCTTCATAAGACTGTTTTACCTCAAATTGCTCAGTTTACACTTTAAGACCCCTAATCTATGTTGCAATTCGGATCTTTCGCGTTGACGGAAAACTGCTACTAGGCCAAAAATGCTCAGTATTATGAGAAAAGGGTGATAAAATATCTCGAGTACAGGAAATCACAAGTAAACTTAACACCCACAGAGCATCGCTCGAAATAAAAATGCCCCCTTCAGTATTAGTGTGCTAATTTCACCTTATCTTGTTCTGAATGATACTCGCAAAGAGTGAGAATGCGAATGCCTTATTTTGGAGTTCAGAGCTGCTGGGATGATTGTTGTATGAAATCGCTAATCTGCGAGGTTTGTGTTTGCATATCCGTTCTCCAAATACTGTAGTTAATCAGGTCCGTTCAGCAATAGATAATTTTTAAAGTGATGGGCCTCT